GCCGCCGCCGGGCGGCGAGCGGCGGGCCCCGTCAGCGGGGGCAGCCAAGTGGCCCTGCCGCGGGGCTGCTGCAGGGGCGCCCGCCCTCTCGCCCGAGAACCAGCCGAGGCGGCCGCGGGAGAGCGCGTCGGAGGGGTTGAGCTCCGAGGGGATCCAGCGAACATGTGTCCAACTGCCAGTGGCCAGCCCAAGAGCGGTGAGCTTGCGCAACGGCCCCCGAAGGCGGGCCGAACGGGCCCGCCCCTTGGCGGCCCCAAGGGCCCGGGGCAAGTTGTCAACCAAGACGAGGGCCCTCTTGCCGATGGCGGGCGAATCCCTGAACGCGCGACGCAAGGCCAGTAGCAAGGCCCCCCCCGTCGAGCTCCAAGACGCCGTGGCCCTGCGGCACGCTGACCGCCACGACGTTGCCCCACTTGTCGGCCTTCAGGAGCCCCGCGGGGACCTCATCGAAATTCGCCTCCGAAACCTCCAGGTAGCACGGCTCCAGACTGCCCGAGAAGACCGCTGACGCCGAAGGACGAGGTAGGGCGGGGCCCTCCAGGGCCTCGGGATGCAATGTTCGTTCTCGGGCACGCTCAGCGCCCTCCACGCGATACCTCCAACGCTCACAGGCACGGCCAATCGAAGCGGCTCGACCAGGACCCAGGCGACGATGAACGACCCCAAGACCAAAGTCACTAGCATCACTACAACACACCCGTGGATGCCACTCAGCAGCGATATCCAAGCGTAGCAGCGGGAGCACGGAACGTATGGCCCACAACACTCGCCTGACTGAGTGCCAAAGAGTGACCGGTGCTGCCCTGGCAAACTCTTTGAAGGCATAGGCGGACTGCAGCAAGCTGAGGCCCTCTCTGCGGATTAGCGTAGTCCATGTGAAATGTCCAACCAACGCACGCATGAGAGCGCCACTGCGCCCCCCTCTCCTGAGCACCTCCTCGATGGCAAAACGAAGACGCCATGCATTTTTGTGGCGCGCCGAGAGCTCCCGTCCGCGTCGAAGCGACAGCCCCCAAAATTATGCGTCCTGCGCGGCGGGTTGGAGCTCGTGCACTGACAGTCCTGCGCCGACGAGGCGCTGAGATACATCGCGGAGCTTAGCATCTACACTCTTTGCTGACTTGCCCAAAGCGAAGCAATGATCAACATATGCTGCGCCCCCCAACGACGACGGACAGTTCAGACACAGGCCGGGCCCCCCGCCCTCCACCATCTCCGCATCCTCGAAGCCCGCCTCCCTGATAGCCCAGCGGAGGCAGGCTCGGCGCACGTGCGCAGCCCAATTGACCCCCGCGGGCAGCGCGCGCAGGCACGGCAACACGGCCTCACCTGGTCCACCGGGGACCTCAGGCACTCCGACCGCCGCGAGGATACCGGCATCGATGGCAAGAAGCGAAAACAGATCAGACATGTCGGGTGGCACGGCCAGGTGGTAGAACGCGCTCCAAGTCCCCAGAAGCGACGTAGCAGGCGCCCCCGGGCACCTCGAGACTGGCGAAGGCGCTAGGTGTCTATAAACGAATACTCGGCGGAGTTTTAAACGAACAGTTCACTGCGCGCGCGTCGAAAATCAATATTTGTTGACCCCCTTTTCTACGCGCGAAAGAAATGGCCATAGCTCCTTTCCGCCCCCAGGCTGGCTGAAAAGACAACATGCCCCTGGAATGGGCCTGGACAAAAAACTTCGCATACTCGAAAGGGTTGGAAGATAGGGAAGGGTCAATGTAGGCCCCCCTCGGGCAGGCCTCCGCGCGCAGAGCCGCAGCCTCAGCCGGCGGTCTGAGCAGGTCCCCTCGCCAACCCTTAAACGCAGACGCATCGGTGGGCGACAGCAGGTCTAAGACAAGCACTGGCCTACAGTCGCGAAAAGGCCACGAGATGCGCCCGAGAGAATAAAGAACCCCAGGACCACTGTCGGAGGCGTAGATAGTGGTCCCGGACAGGACCTCGCTGAGGGCTCCCTGTTGAGAATCGGAGTCCCCCGGGGAGCGATCAAGTCCCCGGTAAGACTCCAAGATGTGGCTCTGAACGCGCAGCTTGCCGGCATTTGGCGCCAATGGCGGCGTACAAGCACCGTGAAGATCATTCACAACTGCGACTCCGTCGGCGGCCCAGGCGTCGGCATGGGCAAGGCAGCGCTGGCGCATCAACGCTCGGCGACACTTTGCTGGGTCCGGGGGAGAGGCAAAGGAAAAAGGTCCCGCTGCACCCGCCGCTGAGGATGGAGGCCAGGAGGGCGGCAGGGCAGCTGGGAAGTGCCCTCGACCAGATCCTGAAGCCAGAGCCCTCTCTTCCCGGGCCTTGCGGCGCTCTTTGGCGATAGCCGATTCACGTGCAAGCTCAGCCGTGACCCAGCTCTGGAGGTCGGGGCATATGCACAGGTTGCCGCGCACCTTGCCAGACCCCATGAACAAGTGGCGATCGACGCCGGCATGGTCTGGATTGGCTACGTGCTCTCTGTAACGTTCCTCATGCACTTGGAAGTCTCTGCAAATCACTTCCATGCTGGCGTGATTCGGCACGTTCAGTTGGTCGTACACTGCGGCGTGCTCAAAGGTTCGGCAACGCTTCTCGTGTTCGTCCACCCCAGGTCTGAGTCGGTCAGGCCCGCTTCCTGACGCCAGCGGACATGGCGACCCATGGGGGTGGACGCGTTCTGGGAAATAAATCGGCAGCGACAGAGGGCCGCGCGCCGGCCCGAAACGGGCCAGACGGGCCAAAGGTCTTCCCGCATTCTCAGCACAGCCTCTCTGAAATCAAAATAGCGGGCCCCCAGCTGGTCATAGACGACATCCAGGACGCGAGCGTCCCGCAGGGGAGCCAGCGGGACGACCGCGGGCGGAGCGCCCGCAGCGAGGGCCCTGGGGGCTGCCGGGGCCCCTCCCGCGGGGACGGCCCCGACAGGGGCCGGCGCGCCCAGGGGAGGCCCCAACAGGGGCCCAGGCGCCGCCAGCGGCGCAGGCCCCCCAGGGGCTGGAGCAGGTCCAGGAGCCAGGGCGGCCGCGAGGCCCGCCAGACCGCCTGGCGCGAGGGCGCCACCTGCCGGTGCCGGAGCGGGGGGGCCAACGCCACCCCCTGGCACCGCGGGGGCGACTCCTAGTGCCAATCCGCCTGGGGGATTCGCCGCCGCAGGACCAGCCAGGGCTAAAGCGGCAGGGGCAGGCGCTGCTCCAGCGGCCCTACCCACGTTCACCGCAAAGACAGGCGAGGGCACGACATTCAGCCTGGCGGCAGCAGCCGTCCTGTCCGCCACGAGCTGGTGCAAGAGCGGCAGGGCGCGGAAGCCGTAGACCCTCTGGCCGCCGATGGCTGGGGAACCCCCGCCTGAGACGCCATTGGCCAGCGGCGTCCAGGCGTCGACGTCGCACCCCGGCAGCAGGTCCTCTTCGTAGCAGTCCCCGTCTGGCGTGACTCTCGTGAACGCGTGGTTCGGAAGGAAGAGCAGGACCAGTCGCTCATGCCACAGTGGGGCCCCGCGGGCCTGGAACCTGACGGCGATGAAGTCGCCCTCGGCGACGCCAGCGTTCGAGAAGACATGGCCGCCGACAGCGGCTCCGGGTGCCGCGAGGGCCGCCATCAGGCACGGCCAGCCCCAGCCGCCGCCGCCGCCGCCGCGACGCGCCTCCCGCGCACGGCTACCGCCTGGGCGCGAGCCTCCTGCTCGAAGTCCGCCTCGGAGCCCGGGGCTGGGAGGTGCGGCGGACCCACCAGCGCCAGCGGCTCGGCGAGCGGGGGCTTGGGCGGGCCGCCAGCGCTGGGGGCCTCCCCCGCGCTCTCGCTCGGAGCCCGTCGGGGGCACCGAACAGCCGGCAGGAGCCGGCCCGCGAAGAAACCTGCGGCCCCTCCTCCCGCGAGCCCCGCGGACAAGCAGCCCGCCGCCAGCGCCGCGCCGGTGAGCACGGCGTGCGTCGCCGACGACACCGGCGGGCAGCTGCAGCTCCCGCAGGCGAGGGCTGGGCAGCCAGGGATCTCTCGGCAGACCAGCTGTGGACAGGGAGGGAGGCGGGGCAGACCGCAGCGAGCTGGGCGGTGTAGTAGTGGAGTCCGACGACAATCGAATCTCTCAGCCCCTCATACCAGATGCCGTGCATCTGGCGAGATGAGAACTTGAGCCGACACAAATGCGGCCCCTCCATGCTGCTACACATGCTTCCCGATGTAAAATGATTCATTGTGGCGGCTCTACAAAGGGATTCCTTTTGCGGCGGCCCTACAATGAGACTCCTTTGATGGTGGCCTGACAAAAGGTTCCCTTTTATGGCGGCAATACAAAAGGATCATTTTTTGTGGCGGCCATATGAAAGGATTATGTTTTGTGGCGCCGTTAGACAATGATTCATTTCGCGGCGCTCTTACAAACATGATTATCGTTGCATCGGTGTTGCGAAGAACTTGGGCAAAAGGGTGTGCCGAAGAACATCCTCAATATGAAACAACAGAGGTACGTTGGAGATATTGGTGGAAGAGCTTACCATATCTATATGTGTACAGTTATGGGTATACATACATACATACATACATACATACATACATGCATGCAGGCAGGCAGGCAGGCATGCATGCATGCATGCAGGCATGCAAAACAACAAACATACAGGCATACACTCATACATACATACGTACGTACGTACATACATTTATGTACAACTATAACCATATGTGTATGTATACACCTCGCCAAAACGTTCGGTTGGATTCGGCTTCTTTGGCCCTCGGACGCGGGAAGGGGTTCTCTGTGGACTCAGGAATGCGAATGTGGGTCCTTCTACACAGCTCCGCTGCATGAAAGCGAATCTCGTGCTCGGACCTCGAACTCTCCCCAAACCTCGAGTTCTGCGGCAGTCTTCTGCCGGCTTGCGGGCCTAAAGCATCAGGCTGTGGAAAACTGCGCTGGTACACGCTTACATGCGCCATGGCAATGTATGGGTGAACCTAGACGCAGCCGCTGAAGATGTCAAGCGAATGTTTCACGTTCCAATATGCCCATCGCGGGAATGAGTTCACATTGTATACTTGACGAGTATGCACGTGGAGATACACGCAAAAAATACCGACACTATCACCATCATCAAAAATAGAAGGTTGAACTGCATCCGGGAATATGTGATATCATTCTGCATGAAGTCGTACTGATCAGGAACTGTGTTGAGTGCCGTCTGGTAACGATTGCTGACTCTCCATACATACCAGCTGTATTGCAAGATTTGGAAAACTTTCGATATCACCACGACCATCGACACAAACGCCGAAACGATTCCGAACCTAAGGCCCTGGCCGCGTTCGCAATACCAACCCCTGCCCGAACACAACGACTTCGCCAACACGACTTGGAAATAAAGGTAGGCACCACAATAACAGACGCCGTGAACGAAGACACGCGAAACGGCTCGTCGGGCGATGAGGACTGCGTCGTTCATGAGCGTGTGCACCGCCTGTACGACTTCTGCTTCCGCCCTCCAAACCGGACCTCGTGGAGTCATCCCTGTATGCTGGCTGGTATACTTGTCGAGGAGGCTCCAGACCCTCCTGTAGTCCTGGAGATTCACGAGCTGCATTTCCAGCAATAACTGCATGCTGCAACACTCTGCAATTTCGTCCATAAGCTCAGACGATTTCACCTGCCAACCGCGCAAGCTAGTATACGCGTGTCTGGTAGCTGTCCACTTTACGGAGAGCGGGAACTCATCTTTCGAGGGCTCGTACTTGCGGCACGAATCCTGTGTCACAAGTTCTCCTGGACGGCCTGTGAGCTGTGTGGCGAAACGGTACGCCTTGACGGAAACGGGCTGGTCGTTGAACTTGCGCTCCTTCCACTGCGCCCACTTGTCTTCATTTAAAATTGTATTCCACCTTTTGCGAGGATCACTGGTGTCGGCCTCTGTCCAGTCCACGGTAAGCGGAAAGTCAAGGGGCTCGGACAGTGTCCCCAGTGTCCCCAGATAGTAATACACCTCAACACGTCCACCCTGGAATTCACGATTCACCCACTCCCTCCACTGGATTACATCTGTGATCGATTTTCGTTCTGCGCGAGGTCCCGCAATGTCGAACTCAAACCTGGAGATCCGAAATCATAAAGAAAACACGACGTCTTGAAACAACTGATGGGAACCCCCGACCCAATATGTCTGCTTCGTTTCTCGAGCCGGATCAAATCTGGAGGAGCCGCTCCAAACGGTCCAAAAGAAATCCCGTCGTGATCTCTTCGCAGCACCGCGATCTGAAGGAACATCCTGCCCCATTCCATCCAAGCATACACGCCGCGCAGCTGATCGAATGCCCAACGTCGGTGGCTAGCGGCCGTCCACCCAGGGCGCGGCATGCAGTACACCATGCCGTACAGGTAGTGCCCGATCTGGGCGCAGAAAACTGCAGCAAGGAGGGGCCGTAGCGGGATGGAGTCAGGTATGAAGAACGGCAAGGCTTGGAGCTGCGTAGAGACTTCCCCCAAGCGTAATCCTGGTTGGCATCAACGTGCCCACGGGGTATCCAGGGCGTTCATGACAGCCCACCCCCCCGAGGGTTGAGGTGCTGATGCCGCCCAGGACTTCTTGAGACCAACTGGGGCTACCTGCAGCCGCTGTCTACGCGTAGCGTCAAGCCTTGCCATGAAAAGCGCTTCGTTACGCGTTTCTGCCCAATCGGTGTCCACCATGTCCTGTATGCTGCCGCTCAGATACATGTAAAAAACATGCCCATGAACGTGTTCCCCTGGTAAGAGGAACACGCATCGGAATAATCATAAACTTTCGGAGCTCCGCTCGAATTTTTTGGACCTCCGCTGGACCCCCCACCCTGGCGCGTGGAGCGTGCCATGGGCGGCGCCGGAGGCACCGCCAGGGGGACCCAGCGCCGATCCGAGAAATCCTCGCGGAGCTCGCACAGTGTATGTTTATGCATTTTCCCCCTTCGACCTGAATCCGGCTGTACAATGTCACGATGTCTATCACGAGGAGCCACAACAACCACACGTGGAAGCACCAGTGCGGCTGCTCAGTGGGCTGCTTCGCCAGGTTAGCAATCGAGCCAGATGCGCCAAATTGCGCGCCGCTGTGCTCGCCAGATGCATCGGATAGCGCTCGCAAGTCAGACAAACCAGCTAGTGTCAGTGAGCCCGATCGCGTCGATGCCTCAGGTACGCCAGATGACATCTCAGATGCGCGAGTTGACACCTCGCTTGATCTACCTACTGATCCGCTGAACCTCGACCTCCCCGTCCAGCTGGGCCACTTCTTCGTCCACATGGGCCGACTGAACTTCCATCGACTGAACTTCCATCTCTTCTTCCGGCCGACTCCATCCTCCCGTCGTCCTCCACCTCCTCCTCTAGAGCGGGATGTGCTAGGTGCGCTCGATGAGAAGCTGGATCCGCCGCCTTGCCAACGGCACGCTGAGGCGAATGAGGATGCCTGACGGCTGGGAGGAGTCGCGACCGCAGGACTCTATCCAAAGCGAGAACCCAACACAGGAGGGTTGGGGGACAGAGAACATAGCATAGGAGAGGAGGGAGGCAGGAAGGAGATTGGACTGGAGACCGTAGTGCTCCATCCGAAGCGAGAACCCAACGCAAGAGGGCTTGGACAAAAAGAAATCTGGCACGGGATGGCCGGAAAAAAGATGTGATGCTTCGTCTCGCCTTCCCACCTCCCCCCTCCTCCCTCGCGCTCCTCCTCCCTGTCCCTCCTGGGGGTCAGGAGGGAGCGGGCCTCGGCTGGGCGGCGGGTGGGGCTGGGTGGGCCTCGGCTGGGCCAGCCGGGGCCAGCCCGGCCCCACCCGCTCGCCCCGAGCCTGGCGCCGCCCGGACCGATGCGGGCCGCCCCGGCCCAGGGCCCGCCAGACACTCGGCCCGACCGCTCCGTGCGGATGGCCCTGCCAGGCAGGGCCGCCCGCCCCCCTCGCACACATTCGAGGTGCGAGCAAAAACTAGAGGTGCGCATGCGCATTCATGGGCATGTCGTCCCAAGCCTACTTCGAGTATGGGATCGACTACAGAACTGATCAACCCCAGAATTTCTTTTTTTCGCCAGATCCACGAACAAATGCTGCGCCTCTTCCTGTAGATTCGGCGAGGAAGCCAATTTTGGGGTAACTCAATTGTGTAGTGGATCCCCTACTCGACTATACTTGAGGAGTGTATCCCCTGATGGGGTCTCGAGCACCCAGCTTCGTCTGCCCTGCTGGGGCAAGGGGCGCCCTCTCCTCTGCGGAGGGTCTCCCCGCCCACCATTGCGATGCCCGCCCCTGGGCCCGAACAGTTCTCCGTGAACTTCCGAGCTGAAGCAGGCCTGAACATCGTAAATGGGGGAGCGACGCTGGAGCCTCCTGGCGGATTTCTTGGATCGACGCTGGATACCCTTGGCGGCGCATCTGGCGCCGCCTCTGGCGCGCTCCGTGCGCCAGGGATGGGGGTCCAGCGCCGATCTAAGGAATCAGCGCGGACCTCCGAAAATGTATGCTTGATGATGTTACGCATCTCGACGCTACGCTGACACGGGGCGAGGGTCTGCCGCAGACAGCTGTACGTCTGCGCATCAGAGAGGCACTCGGATCCGGACATCACTTCAGACGTCGCGCCGGACAGCAACTCCTCTTCGCATGAAGGAAACGCGTCCTAAAGGAAACGGGGCCCTGACCTAGAGTGAGGTCGGGCGTGTCCCCCTACAGGCGGATTTTGGACGGAAAATAACAAATAGTCAAACAATATTCCCAAAATATTGAAAAATATGAAACAAATCGTCCCCTGACTATTCTTGACTATTTCTGAATATTCCTCCTCTAGAGGGACATGCCCGATTTCAGCCTTCCCCCAGGACCAGCTCTCCACTCCCGAATAATCTGGTCTGCCCGTCCCTGGGGCCCGTGGCGGGCCCGTCCCCGGAGCCCAAGGCGCCAGAGAAACCGGAGGACCCGCTGCCCTGGAGACTCCTCTCCTTCATGCGAGGGGCAGCGAGAAGGAGGGGGCTGGCATAGGCAAAGGCATCCTAGATGGGGACCGAGCAGATGGGGTCGAAGGGTCGCGCCGCATCGCCAATGCATCGCCAATGCATCGGCGATGCATCGGCGATGCACTGGCGACGTCGGCGATGCATCGGCGACGTGAGCGTGGAGAGAATCGGGCTCCGCATCGAGCCGCATGGCCGATGCATCGGCGATACGGCGCGAACCTCGGACCCCATCTGGGAGGCCAAGAATAGGAGGGGGACGCATCGATCTTGAATCGGCAATACGTCGCCGATAGAACTGTGATAGGCCCCCGATAGTGGATCCGCACGCTCCTGCGCGGGTCGGAGCCATCGGGCCCATATCGACGATCCATGGGCAATTGGAGATCGATGCGCCCCCCCTCTTGGGGAGACCAACAAAAAACCGATACCTTTACTCCCCGGCCCTTTTCCCAGGGTGCGGTCGGATCAGAGCTTCGAGGCGAATGAAGCGGTGGCGACGAAGGCCCCTTAAAAGCCGAACAGGGGGAAAACAAGAGGAGGGTAACGAGGGAACGGTAGCGGTATCGTTACCTTTTCCTCTTCTGACCTGTGCCTGTCCCCCCCTGATCGTTGCCCCCGACCCTGGCGATCCTCGTCCGCCTCGCTGCGCTCGGTGCCGGCGAGCCCTCCAACAGAGCACACGCGAGAGAGCCAGAGAATCACGACCACGGGCGGGCACGCCCACGCACCCCGGCCCTGCCTTGCGGACTTGTCCATGAACCAGGTGCTCGAATACTTTGCGATATGCACCTCTACGCCACGAAAGTATACACACAGACACACTCCGACGAATTTTGCATGTACCTTCAGGGAGGGCGGCGGTGTATGACATCGCTGGCGCCCAGTGGTGATTTATACACCGCCACCCTCCCCTGAGGCCCAGGAATTATCCAATGGAGGGTGTCTGTGTATATATTTCTGTGGCTGGCGGAACCTCGCAAGCCAGTAGGACAGCGCAGGCAATAGCAGCCGGGAAATGGTACAAAAACTGGTAGAAAACTCCCTCGTTGTCGCTCCGGGTCTCCAGCCACGCGCACGCGAACCCGAGCCATAAGAACAACAACATCACGGATGCGTGTGCGGCTGGCTGCCAAAGCGCTAACTGCGTAACGGGACCAACGCAATGCGCACGCACGCATCTTCCGTCCTTTTCTGACAGCTTGACAGCTTGGCTGACAAAGAATGGAAGCTGTCCAAAAAGGCGAGGCCCCTTGTCAAGATAGCTGTAGCCCGCCATGCTCGGTGGTCATAAGTCACTGGAGGGCAACTAACGACAGAGGCGGGACCTACAATGGTTCGAACCAAATGTCCAAGGAACCTAAGGCCAGCGCTCAGTCGGGAATCCCGCCTGCGCGAGGCACTTTTATCGCGCTCGCTGGCCGTGCCTGGTGGTCGCGGGGCCCAGTAGCGAGCTCCTTCTCCTCGCTCCTCCTCGCTACTCCCTCTCCATTTCCTTCTCTTCCTCCTCGCTCCTCCTCGTTTCTCGCTCCTCCTCCTCGCTCCGACTCGCTCATCAGAGGCTTAAGTGAAGGACCCCTCCCGAGCGATTATTCCCGACCATCCTGTGGTGTTGGGTCCTCGTTTTGAAGACGGCGACCCGCAGCTCACTACTCCTCTCCTTTACCAACTTCTCCCCTCCATCACCATCATCATCATCATCATCAACATCATCATCATCATCATCATCATCATCAGCATCAGCATCAGCATCATCATCATCATCATCATCATCATCACCATCACCATCACCATCATCATCAGAAGCATCATCAACAGCATCATCACCATCATCACAATCGTCATCATTATCATCAGCATCATCATCATACTCATCATTCGCATCATCATCATACTCATCATCAACATCATCATCATGATCATCATCATCATCATCATCATCATCATCATCATCATCATATTCATCGTCATCGTCATCGTCATCATCATCATCATCTCCACCAACACCACCACCACAATCGTCATCATCATCAGCATCAGCATCATCATCGCCACCACCACCATACTTATCAGCATCATCCTCAGAATCAGCATCATCATTCCCATCCTCATTCCCATCACCATCACCACCACCACCATCACCAACATCATAATCATCTGCATCATCGTCATAATCATGACCATCATCATCATCAACATCATCACCGTCATCGTCATCGTCATCATCAGCGTCACCTCGCCCCGTCCGATGCCTGGTGGCCCCAGGGCCCAATGTTGGGCCCCCACAGGCCGAAGTGAAGGAACAACCGCGCGTTGGAGAAGACTGTAGTGCCAGAGGCCTGGGGGGAGGAGGAAGAGGAGGACGACGAACGGCAGAGACTCCACGCGCTGGGCCCTGGGGCGAGACGCTCCCCAGACGAGAGGGGGGCCGCCCGAAATGGTTCGCATCCACCCGAAAACGTAGGCGGCCGCGGCGCGGGCGCTCGGCCGACGATCACGAAAAGCCCCAACCAAACATCGAACGCTGGCGAACAACGACACGGCACACAGACTCAGTCCAAATCGTCATGGGCGGGGAAAAAATTATACGGCGAGGGCATCCAACGGGGAACCACTCGTTCATTCATTCATAGCTCATGGGGTCCAGTCACCCCCAAAAAAAACAAGCGTACCTCACCAGGAGTTGTTGCCCCAAGAGAAAACGAAACCTCTGAACTGCCCTCGGGTTCAGCCCTGAGGTGGCTTAACCTACGAAGCCGGCGGCTTTACTGCTTAAAAATGCATTCCACACTCGGCAAGATGCCGCGCGGGCCCCGCCAGCAAGCGCCCGAAGCGATCACCCCCACGAGGGCGCAGCTGGCCTTAGGCACGCGGGCCCCTCCCCGAGCTGGAAACTCTATCCTTCGGGCGGCCGTTCTGACCCCGACCCCCCGTACCTTTGGGCCTCCGAGGAACGTTGACCGTCGGAGCGCCTTCTAAAAACTGGGGGTCGGGCTCAAACTGCTGAACGCCAGGCTAGGATTCGATGAAGGAGGAACGGCGGGAGGAGGCTCAGGGCCCGAGGAAGGGAGAGAAATCAAATCCCTGGACATTTCATCCGCGAGCCTCGAGCTGGCCTAGAGAGCCTGCGGGGGCCTGCTTACCGCTTGTTGCGGCTGTCTACGTATTTGCTCAGTTTGCGCCCCAGGGGGCCACGAGGCGGTCCGCTGCACAGATCCTTCCCTCCTTCGAACTGCGCCAGCTGCTCGAACCACTCCTGCACCACGACTGCGTGCTTGTGGCGGGGCTTCACGGACCACAGCCAGGTGCACATCTGCGCAGCATTATCCTATTTCTCGTGCGTCTTCACCCTGGAATATCCAATCAACTGTCCCACTTGAGCTGGGCCGTCGTACTTCGCCAGCTTGTTGTTGAAAAAGTCCAGCATCCCTGATGCCAGCTTGGCCTCGTCGGCCTGCTTGGCCCCTGCCGCTGGGGCCCTCGTCGCTGCGTAACCGAAAGCCGCCATGAATTTCTGAATGTGTGGTAGTACCCTGTTTTTGTGATCGGCCGTCTCCCCCGCGCGCTCCTTCTCCGTGAGCTCCGTCGTCTCGTCGTTGCACATATTCCCTGCGCCCCGCATGTCCACGATGAGAGGCGCGCTGACGGGGAGCTCGAATTTGGTGTAGAGGATCGCGCCCATGTCCCCGATATCCCTGGTGTTGGTGAGCACGAGCTTCACGACTGGGACCAGGATGTCCTCGTCGGCTGGCATGCGGGCCTCCTTGGCCTTCGCCCCGCTCCCGTCGCCTCTCTCGCCCTTGACCTTGGATCCGCCGGCGTCGACAAGTCGGCTGCACCACGATGGCATGTTGAGCTTCGGCTCTGTGTCCGTGGCTGCGGCTGCGGCGGCTCCTTCGGGCATCTCCTTCGGGCTGAGGAGGCTCTGGAAGTGTCCGTCCAACCACCCCTCGTAAATGATTCGACTGAAGATGTCTACAGAGGTCTTCCAGGGGGCCTCCTTCATACTCGCAGAATAGGCAATGAAGTGATTTAGGTTGTTTGGGCGACATTAACGTGCGTGCTGGTTCGTGCTGGCAGTAACCCCTCGTCACGGCCCTCTTCAGGTGCTTTGCTGCTGTTGCTTGCGTAGCGAACGTCTGACGACAGCTGATGCATGTATTCGTCGGCGTGATCACGGAGTAAAGGTTTCGAACATTGTGAGCTGCTTTGACATGAGATATATGAAAGAGCGTGTTCTACCGCAGCTGGCGGAAAACCGAGGGGGGGTGTCGCTACCGGTTCGAACCGGCCCCCCCCCCCCCTCCGGAAAACCGGGGGGGGGGCGGCCACTGCCGGTTCGACCCCCCCCCACCCCCCAGCTCATCATGAAAAAGAGGGGGGGGGGCGCTACCGGTTCGAACCCGCGCCCCCCCCCCCCCCCTTCGAACTCGAAAACCGGGGGGGGCCACTGCCTGCTCAAATCCCCCCCCCCCTTCGAAAACAGAGGGGGGGGCGCGGACAGTGGCGGGGGCGGCGGCGGCGGGGGCAGCGGCGAGGGGGCAGCGGGGCAGCGGCGGGGACAGCGGGGCAGTGGTGGGGGCGGGAGTGGCGGGGGCAATGGTGAAGACATTAATGGTGGGAACAGTGGGGGCAGTGGGGCAGCGGCGGGGGCGGCGGTGGTGGGGGCAGTGGCGCGGGGGCAGTGGGACAGCTCAGCGGTTCGAACCGGCAGTGCGGTAGTGACCTCCCCCTCCGGTTTTCGAGGGGGGGGGGGTTCGAGCCGGCAGTGGCCCCCCCCGGCTTTCCAGTTCGAGGGGGGAGGGGGGGCTAAGGGAGGAGGGGGGTTTTGCCGGAGGAAGAGGGGGGGGGGGGTCCAGCAGGGGGGGATTTTCAGAGGAGGGGAGGAGGGGCCCCTGGGTTCCAGAGGAAAAGGGCGGCAATTTTCCACAGTAAAGCGGCGGTGGATCACGTTCTCTCAAATATATAGGCCCCCCTCTTGGAGAGCGCGGCCCCGCATTCGACTCCATTTTTACGGCGCCTGCAGATGAAGCAGCCCGGTGGGTCTCGCTCCTCTGGCGAGACATCAACCGGTGGCTGCAATGGATCCTGCCAGCCTGGAGGCGGCATCTGCCCCCCGAACCCTCGACGTCGCAGGTCTGTGAAATCGACCGAGCAAAAATCACCCATTGCGTCCTCCTCCGCAACCAAGGCTAAATTCTCAGCGAACGGCTCGATAGACATGCAGTCTGGCATCTTGGGCGCGGCGCAATCTAAACCCGCCGACGTCTGGCGCAACCAAGGCGGGGCGAAACGAGACGGGCGACCTGCCGTGAGTAGAGGCCTGTCGACAAACCCAAACTACCCGAAGAGGGCAACTAAAACTTGGCTGTGGTGATCGGGTTGGCGACCCCAGGACTGATGCAGTTGTCACCTCCGAATTCTCATTTCTTTCTCCGAGGACGGGGTCTTCCAGAAAAGCAGGACCTCTTTATCCGAAAAGCTCGCGACGTGCTCCCCCTCGAAATTGGCCGCCTGTCGCCCCTTTGCAGCTCTCCCAAGACGTCCCAAACACGAGTCCAGGATCTCGCGGCCCGAGCTCTGACGGGGCACACTTTCCAGGCAAGACATCAACGCATGTTGGACAAATCCAATGCAGAGACATCTCCTCCACCTCCTCGCCAAGCCCTCCAGCTTCCACATTCCCGAGAGCGAGCGAAAAAACAGGAGGGCAGCTGCGCAACGACGAACCACCCCAGGCCTAGCCGAGCCCCGCATGGTAATGCACGGCCCCAAATATCGTGCCCCCTCCTGAGTAGCCCCCTGCAAGACAAGATCACCCGCTCTAAGTCTGGCACGACGACTAATATGCCCCTGCTGGGCAAAATGGGCAAGGAACTCCTGCTGGGAGGCGTTCTGCGCATATCCATGCGCGGACAAGGCTGCGTCTAGGTCACGGCCCACGCGCGCCAGCTTATCCAGAAACGAGGCCAGCGGGCCACCTGGACTTGCGACGACAATGTCATTCAGGTCATCCGCGTATCCCTGGAGAGGCACATCCACCCTCCACCCCGTCCATTCGCCAACCAACATTTTGAATTGTAGGTCCCACGGTCTCAAACCCCCTTCCCCACGTTAGAGTCGGACAATTTAAGCGCCCCCAGGAGCGCTGATACGATGAAAGGGTCGCCCATGCATCCTCCGTGCGACGGCCGCGCAACGAGCAGCTCGTCGGAGGCTTCGGACTGAATCGAACTCTGGCGAAATCTCTGTCTACACAACGCCTGGCCCTCTGGCTCC